CCCCATAACCTACTCCAGGCACACGGACCCCCCAGGGCCTCTGTCCCGATGCCCTCTGCAGCCTGACACGGATGGAGTATCAAAAAACAGACACACACGCCTGAAAATGCTTTTTTCTTCTTCAAGTTTAATACACACTAGAACAAGCCACAAAAGAGTGTTGCTAGCCCAGAACTACACTCGCCTCAAGCCCACCCCAGGAGCCCCAAAACACAGAGGCCAGGAATTGGGTCCAGGACTCCTGGGGAGACCAAAGCACTACTGGGGAGGCCCAGGTACCCCTGAATCCTTCTGTGACCTCCTGACCTCCCAGCTTACCCTCAGCCTAGACTCAGCTGGCCTTCCCTTCCTAGGCACGCCCCCCCTCCCAGGACTCCCTCCCTCCTCAAGGGACAGAGAGAGGCAGCAGGGGCACATCGGTTCAGGCCCCAGGAGAAGCTGGGCTCTGGCTCTGGGTGGAGAAACACTGCAGAAGAGCTGTCAGGGCAGTCAGGCCCCCACACACTCCACGTAATTGGCAGGGTACAGGCCAATGCGGCCACTCTGCAGCTGGCCCTGGCACCAGCCCTGCTCATCCTCCTCGCTCATCTTCAGCAGCTCCTCCCCTGGAGGAAAGGGGACTGGTCATTGCCAATTGCCCTGGCTCAGCTCTGTTCCTGCAATTGGGTCAAGGACTGAAGGGGAGCAGGCAGTAGCCCAGAGAATCCAGCTAGGGGAAGAGACGTGGCTCAGGCAGAGGGAGGTCAAAGTCAGCAAGCCACCCCACCCCAGACCCTGAATGCAGCAATCGGGTCCCAGTTGGTGGTTTTGAGAGGCAGGCGAGGGCTCAGAGCAGACACTCTATGACTCCTGCAGACTGGACCCAGAGCAACCTTAAGAGTCAGAAAACTGGCCCTTGAGAAATAGGTGTCTGGCTTCCCTTTTCCACACCCCTGTTCAGGACAATAGTCGGGGAAGGGAGGCTGAAGCCTGGAAAGGAAAAGGAAAGGGGTCCCAAGGTACCTGCTCGGAAGCTCAGCTCATCAGCTTCCTGGCCAGCGTAGTCATAGAGCGCCCGCACCCGCACCCCAGTGGGAGCCTTCCGGGGACTCTCCTCATCTGACCACTCTTCATCCTGCCCACCACTGGAGAGGGGAAGCAGAAGGGGGCAGGCTCAGGGCACCAGGAACACCTGGACCAAGAGAGCCTGGGACTCTCAGTCAAGGGTTCATCTATGGGAGGAACCATGGGAGACACAGGTGGGGAAGAAATGAAAGAGCCCAGTCCGACCTCTGCCACACATGCCTGTGAGCTCAGGTGTTCTTCCTGCCACACAGTGCTCACGTGAGCAGTAGATGCCAGGGAACATGGGAAACATCTGGCAAATCTACACCACCATGAAAACTGGCATTACAGCCATTTACTAGGTCCTAAGTTCCTTGGAACCCATTTTTAACCCACTTCAGGTGTGAAGGGAATGAAGGAAAGGAGGGCAGGGGCCAGAGCTGCATAGCCAGATTCCTGGCTCTCACCCTGGGGACCTGGGGGACTGAGACAGGGGCACAGCGCCATCTCTTGTGGGCACGATGCTGGTCAGAGTAACCTCATCAGGGCTCCGGCCACCCTTCTCCTTCCGGCTGATTGTCCTCTGTGTGTCCAAGGACCACTCCTGTGGGGACAGTGCTTAGGGTCAGGCTGGGCTACAGGCTGTGGTGGCAGCCAAGGCCATCCAAACCACCTTCACTTTTTCATCCCAAGTCCTAGCCTTGCTCCTGAGGTCCAGGCTGAGCCCAGTGGGAGTCCACCCTACCTCCCAGTCCCACCTGGAACACGTACCTCAAACTGTGGCCAGTTCATGGCCATGCCCGGTCCATGGGTACTGCGCCACCAGCGCAGATCCTGTTCGTCACTAGCAGCCTCGATACCCTTATGCAGGTCTCTGTGGAGCTCATGGAACCTGTGGCCCAAGGCACAACCCTCAAACTAGGAAGCCCTGGGCCCTTGTATCCCCCCAATCATTTTCAGCCCAGCCAGAGCCCAGGGGAGATGGAAGAGACCCAGCATTTCCCCCGATCTGCGCGCCCACCCCGCAGGCCATACTTCTCACTGCTGGAGAGGTCGAGGTGCTGGTGTAAGGTGAGCAGCATATCCTTAAAGAAGAGAAGCCGCTGGCGCTCAGCGGCCTGGCAGGTTTCAAAGGCCTGCTCCATGTCCTCCATGTAGCGCGGGGTGTAGCGATGCAGCTCTGCCAGTGTCTGCTCATACTGGGTTTTCGTCTGGGTGGGAGAGGAGGGGACCTGGTCAGCAGGAGACCTTCTTCCACTCAGGACTCTGCTAGTATTTACTGACTTCCTATCCTAGGTTAGACACCAGGGGCAACCAGTCACAAGACCCAGCTCCTGCCCCTAGGACCCCAGCAGCCTAACACGAGAGGTGATATTTGGGTACAGCAGCTTTTAGAGTCTGGTGAGTGAAGGCTAAAAGCGAGAGTAAGATGAGATGGAGAGAGATTAGGTCCACCAATGAGGGGTAGGAGAAATCAGAAAAGGCTTCATGGAGGTGGAAACTGAGCAGCACCTCAGAGGATGGGAGGATTTGGATATGCAGAGCTGGAGGAGAGGGCACTCGGGCAGAGCAACCAACATGAGAGGTTGTCCCAGGTGGTACACTGAGAAAGGAAGGGAAGGAAGGTCTCAATTGCTAAAATCATCCCAATGCCTGAACTTGCACTGTTTCTTTCCCTGGGTATAGCATCATCTTTTCTCAGGTTCTTCCTTTAAAAGGCAATCTGGAGAGAGGGTGCCAGGTGAGGATGAGAGCAGGAGGAGTGCTGGGGACTGAGAAAGGCACTCAGGAAGCCCTGAGCCGGGCAGCTGGTTCCACAGCGGTACCTTCTCGGCCTCCTTGGTGCAGCGGTCCACCCGCTCCTGCAGCTTGCGCAGCTGCTCCTGGGAGACGGCGCTGTCTGCCTTCGCGTGGCTCTCCCGAGTCTGGGCTGTCTTCTCCTCCTTTCGGGCTCCATGGTAGCTCTTCTTGGAAGCCTCAACCTGGCACACACAGGGACAACTCTGGACCCTGCCCACCACACCCGAGCCCATGGACTTAGGGAGGGGCGTGCCTCTGTTGCTCATCCCTCCCAGGCTCACCTCCTTCAGCCTCTTTAGCCAGGGCTTCTGGGCCTTGCGGAAACTGTCCTCAGCAGCCCTGCTCTCTCGGAAGCCACCCAACACTGGCCGGTGGAAGGCCCCCCGCTGCCAGGCACGCACCCGCTCACTGTCCTGCCCATGAAGCTTCTCCCGCACCTCCAGGTGCAGCGCGCTCAGCCGCTCGGCCGCCGTGAAGAAGGCGTGCCAGGCCTTCTCCAGCGTGCCATACTGGGGGCCTGCAGGGAGGGATGGGACTTGGGCCAGGCCAGGGGCCACCAGAAACAAGCCCACCCCCTTGCACTGGGCGCTGTTCCAGGTGCCAGGCACAGAGGGGGTCGCAGAAATGAAGAGCACGACGGCAGTTGCTGCTTACTGAATATCCACTCTGTGCCTTGGCTATCAGAACTCAATGAATCCTTGCCTCATCCACCACTATGAAGACAGTGTCACGATCAACATTTAACAAGTGAAAAAACAGTGGCCCAGAGAAGTGAAGTTAATTGCCCAAAGCATTACAGCTACAAGTGAAACTGAGACTCAAACCCAGGTCTGTGGCATGAACCACTGCACTCTGTTGCCTCAGGAGGAACCAGTGTCTGGCCCTAAGGAAGGGAGCTTGTTAGGGTGAAAAGATCCCAAATGAGAAGGCCTGGCTCAAGCTTAAGTTCTTCCTAGCTGTGTGGCTTCAGGCAAGTCACTTAGCTTCTCTGAAATTCCACACTGTTCTCTAGAAAATGTGTAGATCAGGACTATCTCCATCTTGGGGTTGTTAGAAATATCAAAATAACTCATGACTGCACTTTGAGAACTCTAACAACACTATTGTGAGAATTACCAGGAGGGTCTTCCCTTTAAAGGGAAGGCAGACATGGGGGCCTCAACCTTTCCACCAGAGGTGCAAAAAGAAGCTTCCCTGTCTGATAGTCCCACATTGGTGGCACTCTGCTCCCTGCTAGGCCCATCTGCTGGCTTACCCTTCTCCACGGTGCCCCTCCACTTTCGGGCCCAGTCGGCCAGCTGCTGGGCATAGGCCTTCTCAATGCGGGCACGCTCTTGGAAGCAGCTGACCAGGTCCCCGCAGAGCCGATGCCCGTCTTCCACCCGCTGCACCGTCCGCCTGTAGTTGCCAGCCTGGGGCATACATGGAAAGGGCAGTGTGGCCAGGGAGAAGCCCACTCCAGGGCTGGTGCTGACAGCTAGACAACTCCCTTGGACAGGTGGCTGGGCCCAGAGGGGTGGGCATTACAGTGCCACTCCCAAACCCAGCTACTCACCTCCCAGAAACTGCCCTCTAGGGCTTCCCCTCCAGTGTCTTCCTCTGGAGCCATGGTGTCCCTGCAGCACGGAATGGTGGCGGGTTGGGGCTGTGGAATATAGAAGTAAACAGAGAAGCTGGACATATACTGGACATACACATTTTGTAATAGGAAAAGACCCTCTCATCCCTGGGCTTCACCCCCACCACCGTCCCCACCATCCAAGGAGCTGTTGGAACTACGTCTTAGCAGACAGGGGTCTGGAATTCCCCAGGAGGGGCCAGGATAGGGGCAAGGACGGCAGTTTCAAAGCTCCTTCTCTCACCCTGGATCTGCCCTTCCCCCCCATCTCACCCCATGTACCTGGAGCCTAGAGATCACTTCAGGGACCCAGCTGTCCAACTCTCAAAGCTGCCACTGTGACTCTCCCTTGAAGCTAATGAGAGCAAAGCAGGGGGTGAGGGCGGGGACCTAGAACATCCAGGGCGGTGCCCAGCTCCCCCAATATAGCAACTGCTGTCAGAAGCGCCAGATTCCAGCCAGGAGAATGCCAGGCAGGTCACACGATCCAGCTGGGGATTAGATGGCAGGCGGGGGTGGGTAGTGGGCAGAGGGCCCCACTGCCCTGACTGCAGATGAGAAAGAAGACGCCTGCCCCAGCCGGGGTCCTGCTGCCTTTCCTTGAATAATAAGGCAATCCTTTTCCAGACCAGGACAAGTCAGAGGGTGCCCAACCACACTTCCCTGTGGCCTCTTGGCCGGAAAGGACTGAAAGCCAAGAGGCCTGAGTCCTATCTTGGCCAAGAAGCTAGAACAAGTGCATTTTACTGTCCCCTCATAAGGAAGCCTCAAATCCCTCCCAAGATGGAAATTCTGCCTCCTGGTCTGCTTCTGGCCAGGGCTGGTGTAACACTCAAACCAAGCAATGAACAGCAGTGTGAGGGGCCTGACAGTCACAAGGAGACACTGATCCTGTTCCACAGCATCTGAGGTCCCACAGGGCTCTGTGGGTAATGAGCAACTCAGCCCCCTCGCCCCCCAGAAAGCCCAGAGTCTGGGGCAGCATGAGGGAGCCAGACAGGTGACTGACCAGTTGTAAGAGTATTCTCCAGAATTACGGAGGAGGGCATGGCGATTCCACAGCCACCACCCCAGGGGCTAGAGGACACAGTGGCACGTGGTCACTCCCTGCCTCTGGGCAGGGTCTCAGCTGTCCACAGCACCGACTCAAACTCCTAGAAGGAAATTGCTTCCTTCTCTGAACAAGCCCAGGGGACACCACCCAATGAGGACAGAATGTGCCTGTTGCCCCCAAAGCAGGGCTTCACCACAGTGCTCCCCTCCAAACTGATGAACCTTTACCCATTCTTCCAAACTCAAAATTGAGGCATCTCCTCCACAGTCACACAGCCCCACTCACCATCCCCATTCCCACAGCCCCTATGACCCATGAGTCAGGGTATAAATCCCAGTGGATTGTGACTGATGGGACAGGATCTGTCCGCAGTCATTGACAGAGACTTCCTGTGGGTCCAATTTGGGTTCCTCCAGGCACTAGAGATAGTAGTTGAATGAAAAAACAGATGCCATCTCCCTGAAGACGAGGAAACCCAGTGGCTACAGCAGATTTGTGAAAGGTTGGCCTGAGTGGGCTTCCACCCCTAAGCTAGCAGGAGCGCTCAGGCCTGCAGTGGAGGTGCCCAGGCACAAAGCAGAGCAGCTGGCCCCTTCAGGGTCCTCAGCCCTTCACCTTGCTTCCTCGTGAGTCTGTCCCATTTGCACAGAAAGGACTTGCCAGCCAGATGGAGAAAACCAGAGCTGCAGCTGTAAATCACGGGCCTTAGGTGCTGTCCCAGTCAGGCATCCAGGGGCCGGGCCCCCTGCCCGCTCCAGCCTCCAAGCTCCCAGCTCCCGGGAGAGCTGCCCCCCACCCATTCCCTCTCTCTGGCCCCAGAACAGAGCAAGCTGTGTGTGCAGGGCTGGCACTGCTCCCTCCCGCCTCCCAGAGCAAACACAAGACCAAGCCCCAGGCACAGCCAGGCCCCACAGCCCCGCTAGATCTAGCTGTAGGGGTGGGCCTTGCACCTTGGCCCCTATTGAGGAGGACCAGCACCCTGTACCTCCTGACCTCAGCAGAGACCCCGGTCGGTCCCCAGAACACTCTCTGCCACAGCAAGAGCTCAGAAAGCAGATAATGCAAGCTTCCCAGCCCAGGGAGTCAGCACCTACTGGGCCCAGAGAAGTGGGCTGGGGCTTGGCAGGGTCTCCTCATAGCTGCCTGGGCCAAGGTAAGGAACCCTGGGGTTCAGGGAAGAACCCACTCTCCCTACCTGAGGCAGGTAGGTAACCCCTGCCAGACGGGCCCTCCCCCTTCCCAGCCGCTGGGAGCAAGCCCCTGGGAGGGAGCTCTGCCATCCTGCCCTGCCCATCCATCCCGTCCTGAGTCACAGGCTGCGCCCAAGAGCCTCTGCTTCCAGCAGCCCCTCCCGCCGGGCGGGCAGCCCTGATTTGAAGGCACAGGAGGGGGCGGTAGTCTGGTCCTGAGACAGACACCTAGACTACAGCGGCTGGAATCTGCGGCTGGAATGGTGGCCCGGGAGGCTGGGGGAGGGGGTGGC